TCTTTTCATCATAATCTCCTCACTAGTAACACCTCTAACCTTTTCGTTTGTTTTGTTTTAGCAAACATTTTTCTGTACTTGCAACACAGTTAGGTCACATAACTGCCGAAGAGAAATTAACAATAGATTTTTTTAGGGAAAAAAAGGAACAAACCACCCCAGAGTACCCGCCAACCGCCCACCATCTAATCTCCAGGCACAGTACAAAATGTGTAATAGTATGACCTATTTGTTGTTGCAAGTGCCATAGAAACTCTAACTAAACCCAGGTGCTCTCATGGCCTAGAGGTTAAGGTGTTGGCCTCTCATTCAAAGGTCCCGGGTTAAATACTTGTAGCGACCGAAAAAATGTATTCTCTAAAATTATCTCCTTTCACCTCCTTTCCTGCTCTCTAGCAATATTCTGTCGTCTGCTTTCGTCTCCTCTTTCTGCCCCCGCCATCTCACCTCCTTTGCCCCCTCCTCTGGGTTTCTGACTCTTTCTGCAGCCTTTCTACTGCTGCTCCTTGACTCCTTCTTACAGCTGTCTTTCTGCCACATCCCTGATCTTCTGGTAGGAAAGATCTACACCTAGCCTTCTCGGACAAAGGCGAAACATCTCGGAGGGCCTGTGTCCAAGTTGCGCACGTTAAAGATCCCTTGGTGGTCTAAAATCGATAAGAGTAGGCTTCGGCGCCACCCGGGCAAAATTCAAAATTTCCTACCAACTAAAAGTATTAGGTGTGTCCCGCGCGCTCATATGACCTTATGCAGTTGCGAGCGCCGTAAAACACTTAATTAAAAAAAAAACCCAAACAAACAAACAAACCCAAGACAAAATCTAAAGAACACAGCGTGAGTTTGATAGTCTACGTTCTTACCGTCACACTCGACAGCTTTGTAGGTGCACGTGGCAGACGGGGGCTCTGAGCAGCGCTTGGTCTCAGAATTGAACTCAAAACCCGCCGGAGAGCACCTCATCACCCTGGCCCGTCTAGCATCACACCGGATGTAATCAGTACAACTGCTGCATGATGGGTAGACGCCATCTTTAACGTCACTACAGGAAGTGATGCAGACTAGGAGAAGAAAAGGAGTAAGTCTAAGGGACAGAACGAAATCTAGATCAATAACTGTTCTTTGGGTGTAAGACGTCCTGTTTTAATGCATGTCTTTATCCCCCCTGTTCTGAACCTATTGCCAGTGGTTCTTATGTATTCAATATAATTGATAGCATTGTTAGTGTCTGTGTTGTAATTGCTTTGTCAGTGTTTGTAT